CTTTTACTTACAAAGGGGAAAAGATATCTTTACAATAAAGAGATCTGATGAACATTATGATAACCAAGTGATTAACCTTAGCACTAGTAATAAAAGAACTGAAACAAGTGCCTCCTGATACGATAGACTAGTTGGCTCACATCACCTATATAGTATACTTGCCAGAATGTTTAACTTGAATTCATCATGAGGTAGAGAAATCCAGACAAATGTATACAAATCTAGCAAATCCAGGTTCTAAAATGCTAGGAAAGACAAGCAGAGCAACCATGAGGTTGAAGAAGACCAGTGAGACCAACTAAAAGCATTTAGCATTGTGTCAATCTTGATTATATCATTGATCCAAAAAAGGTGAAGAGGCATTTTAGGAATCCTTGGAAATGTGAGTATGTAGTATTGTTAAATGATAGTCTCACAGTTACTGGATGTGATAAAGGCACTATGGTTTATGTATGAGAAAGTTCTAAAAGATAGCATGCTGCATTTAGGATGAAGTGATGAAGCATGCAGGTTTTCAAATAGTACGTGAAAGGTGTACTATACGTGGAAGGGAATACATAGAAAGTGCCTATGGCAAAATTAACGTTTGTGGGAGGTAGATAAAGGGATATGGATGTTCATTGATTCAACTTCTGTAGCTTTGAAAATCTTCTTAAAAATTGATGGGGACGGGGACAGCTGTGAGTACTCTCTCCAGAAAGGTGTCAGGGGCTTTGGGCTACAAGTATGCATTGGCCAAAATGTAGCCATAATTCTGAAGAAACTTTGTTGAGGTGATTTCTCCTAACTGTGGAAAAGAATTTACAAAAAAGGTTTTGAGTTGAATTTTGAAGACTTGTCTCTTGTACAGAAAATCACTGATAGTGCCAGGAGGACTTCGTTGCACTTGCTGTCATGGTTTAGAAATCTGGTTCAAGAATAGGTTTAGTTGGGTTGTGTGAATTCATATGTAAAATTTAAAATTTGTGCACATAGGCATTTTCAGTGGAGTATAGGCCATATAATCTCATTTTCAAAGAAGCAAACCCTTAATTTAGAGTTGTTTCTCTTTAGAGGACATTCTAATCCATTAATTAGTATTTACAACTGAGTTCGCTCTGTGTTACGATTTTGACTTCAAAAATACTGCTTTCCTCTTGGTTGGAAATAGTGGCCAAGGGGGAGTGGTTTGGAAGCAAGGGCTGGATTGTGTGAGGCTTTGGAGCGTATTGGAAGTCTTCGGCTTTTACTATAAGATGTTTGGTCCTTGCAGGCTTTTGAGTGGAGTAGGGCCTGGCTCTAATTGAAAGTTTTAGAAGAGTCAGATTGCTGTGTTGAGAATAAACTCTAGGAAGGCGACACAGTGCAAGCTGTGGGATAAGCTAATGGCTACTGAAAATAATCCAGAGACAACAGTTGATGGTTTTTGGGGTTTTTTTAAATTTTTTGTTGGATTTTACTTATTCATTTAAACAGAGGTACTGGGGATTGAACCCAGGATCTCGTGCATGCTGAGCATGCACTCTACCACTGAACTGTACGCTCTCCCCAACAGCTGATGGGATAGAGTAGCAGTAGTTATGGGGCATTCTGCATGTGTTAACATTGCCTGAGGATTTCTGGATCCAAGGAATTACATACATGTTTAAGACGGAATTAAATGCAGAGGAGATGATTCCTACTTTAGCTAGTCTGAAGATTCCCAGGCACAAATTCCCTAAGGGACATTGACTCTACCTCCCAGATTTTCATTTATATAAGGATGAAGTTAGAGAGGGTTTGACAAATTCCCAAATTCATTGTAAGCTTGCCCTACTGTGTCTGAAACACTGTACTGTAATTACCCTGTATTTATTACCCTGTATTTATTACCCTGTAATTTACCCTGTATTCTGCATCCTTATCCCATTTTTCTGTACTGCATAGTCTGAAAACAAGAATATGTGATTGACAATAGGAGACTACTCCATTCCAGAGCTAGGCTTCAGGATAACAGTGTTAGAATAGATAAAAGTGACAGAATAGTTAGGAACGGCAACGATTAAAAGAGTAGTTTCATATGACCTCCACATACCATTAAATAGTATTCAGATTTATTTTATTGAATTTTTTCCTATAGTTGAATTGTATTTGAAATTAGTTTTCTATTTAAGATGCCTGCCAACCAGGATATTATAATTAGGATAATAAAATGTGAGGCCATCTCAGTTTTAGACCAAAATGTAGAGTTTTTATTTGAATATTTTATATTAAGCTGTTCTATCATAATGTTCATAAAATAAAAATTTAGTTTCTGGGGTTTTTTTATTCTAATAAGAGACAGATCTTTATTACCATCCTTATATCAAAATCATTTTCAGTTGTATTAGGTCCTTCACATGATTTCAAGTATGGCCTCATGCCTGGCCCTTCAAGTGATTTCAAGTATGGATTGCTACCAGGTACTTCAAATGATTTCAAGTATGGATTGATACCAGGTGCTTCTAACGATTTCAAGTATGGATTATTGCCTGAATCTTGGCCAAAACAAGAAACTTGGGAAAATGGCAAGTATTAGTCACACATTTACAGAATTCTTAATACTTTTTATCAATTTTAAAAGGTTCCATCTGGGTTTTAAAAACTCAGATGTTAGTAGCCCTATAATAATCACTGTTCTGAGGAAGAGACAAGCTCCTGATAGCGATTTTCTGTTCAGTATATAATAAGTGCTGTTTTGTTTTGTTTTTTAATTCTCAAAGGTGAATCATCTCTAATCATGAACAAGTTAAAATGCCCTCATTGTAGCTATGTAGCCAAATACAGACGAACACTAAAAAGGCATTTGCTCATTCATACGGGAATCAGATCGTTTAGCTGTGATACTTGCGGAAAGCTGTTTACTCGCAGAGAACATGTAAAAAGACATGCCCTGGTAAGTAACTTTACATGTAACTGATCTTTGAGATAAACTATGTTTATGTCAGTGAAGTTTGAGGTATTTTAAACACTACTACTTGCGAATTTAAGGAAGGTAGATGTAATAAAAAATAAATTGCTTTAAACAACGTGAACCAATACTGACTAAGTGGGAGGTTTAATTTGAGTGGTTCAAATGCATTATACTGTACTATCTTTACATTGGATTTTTCCCCCCTTCAATTAGGTGCATAAGAAGGATAAAAAATACAAATGTATGGTGTGTAAGAAGATCTTCATGTTAGCAGCCAGTGTTGGAATAAGACATGGATCTCGACGCTATGGTGTTTGTACGGAGTGTACAGATAAATCACAACAAGGAGGGCAAGAAAGTGTAGATCAGGGACAGGATACAGATTTCCCTCGGGATGAAGAATTTGAGGAGAACGGAGGAGAAGCTGATGAAGAGCTGGTTGATGATGGAGAAGATCAGAACGATGCATCTCGATGGGATGAATCAGGAGATGTTTGTATGTCTCTAGATGATTAACGGACCGACTATACCCCTCAAGGATGCTGCATTTGGACATAATATGAATCAACAATTTGAATTGTTGAACTTGAAGGCTTGCAAAATATGGTACATGCTGGATGGTAGATATGTTGCTGTGAAAACTGTAGGGTCAAAGCCTTAGAGCAAAATTTTTTTTTTTATATTTGCACAGGACTGTACAGCAGACAACCTTGTGGTTGGATTACATGGAGTCCACACATCTTCAGTCAGTTATCAAAGTAAAAAATATTTTTTATTTATAGGGTATGCAGTAACTATTTGGGTCCTATGAAAATATAGTACCTGCTCTTAAAAAGCTTACATTCATGTGCCACTTCAACATGAATGAAGGAAATCCATTTATTAGAGTACAGTGACAGCTGATCTAATTACTCTGTCCATCAAACCACTCAGGCTAGTTTGTACTAGTAGAGTTTTGTTTCTATTTTTATTTTTATTAATTTTATTTTTTTTAATACAGATTTTCAGTGAGGGGGCCCTTTCAACCCCATTGGTTCTACTTTTCTGTATTTTCCATTTTAATTTGCTTCATAACTTAAACCAGGTCTATTCTAGTCTTAGGTATTATTTCTCAATTTTGTGCTGATGGGCATGTTTATAAGAACTGGAGAGGTAATTTATTGGAATGAACTAACTGACTTCCTCCATTCCCCTTTCCTTTGACATGAATTTTATTTACTATTTTACAAATGAAGAATGATGTTGCAAAGTACCGTGGCGAGGTTGATAAATACCACTAAAATGATTATGATTTAGAAGTAACTTTCTCCTGCTGCTCTAATCTGATAAATGGTTACTATATGACATTTTCTGACAAGGCATTTGGTTTTGGGTATCTGTTACTTTGGCACTACTCTTGTTTGTTTCTTTTTATTTTTTGCCAGTGTACTATACCTCAGTCCTATTTGAAAAGACAAATCTAATTGAAAGAAAAGTCATAGAAACAATAAGTAAAATGATTTGTTTTATAATGTATCCTCCATGTCCAGTTTGGTTAGCTTGTTATGCAATATAAGTGAAATATCAGGTTTTTACTCCTGTGCCCTTTTTATCATTAAAATTAACACAAAAAGTGCATTCTCCTTTGTTTCATACTTATCTGGATATTCAGTGTTTTGAAATTATGATAGATAATTAAGTTAATTTATTTTTTTCAATTCGTTGAAGTCACTACACCTTGATAGATATGTAGTCTTTCTAGTAGTTGCCATGATTCAACTATCTGCAGAAATCTGACAAAATATTGAGAGGCTGTACAGTTTATTCCGTTAGCTAAATTCTTCGGGGTACAAGGGGTGATGTATTGAGTTGAAATTGCCAGATTTACTTAGCCTGATGATGAATTAGCTGATTAACTCAAGCAACATTTCACATAACACTCACGACATTTATCAGGAACATGTTGTATATTATATGATTGAGGGATATCATATTTTCAGCTTTCTTTTAAATAGAAATTGTGAGTATATTTTCCTATTTTATATCAGGTAACTAAATTACGCTAATCATGTGGAAAAAACTGCAAAAGTACACTCTGACAGACATAATCCTTTTGGTGCTCCATCTGATCAAGGTTGAAAAGTTGATACGTTATTTAAGAGACAAGCTTTCTCAGTGTCTCTGATTTCAGTAAAATAATGGTTTAATGTTAGACTGATGCTTCTGCGTGGTTAAATCAAAGATAAAGTATAGTTACATGGTTAGATGCATCATTTGTCATCTGAACTTTATTGTAGTTTCTACAAAATTGAAAAACTGACATATGAATAGTTTTGGTTTAATTTCTAAGGCTAAAGAGTACATCTTATTCTCAATGTTTTAGACAAATGAGTAAAATGTAATTCTGGTGGGGTCCAAAGTAGACGTTAGTTGGGCAGAGATACTATGAATGGAAAAGTATTTTAAACGTAAAATGTTCTGCTTTGTGAATATGTAAGTATAGTATAAAGATTTCTTTCATCCCATTTATCCCTCTCCTTTAAAATAAACCATAGTTTACAATTGGTAGATCTGTCTATATATAAATATATATTAAAGAGAAAAGATATATATCTGAAAATCACCTAAATCTGCTTTATTAGACTACAGTTCACTTATTGCATAGAAACTGGACTTGGCTTTACATTCTTAATGTACTTTTACTTTTCCTTAAGGTAAGAACTTACTCTGAATTTTCTTTACTACTAAAATCTTTATGTATATCTGGTAAATTATGACCAAATTTTTGTTAGATTGCATACAGTAAATTGAAATATATACTTGGTACACTACGGGATTGTTGTGCTTTTGTTTTGGTTTTAGTTGGAAACAAGGTTTGATGTAGATGGCTTGTTACTGTTAATTTAAAATATTCTATAATTATTGTCCATTACCTTTTATGTTGTGTTGTGACAGATTTGGCTATATTTTTAGTCAACTGAAATATACTTTTAAGAGTTTGTTTTTAGAAAGGTAATCCAAAGGAAAAATGTTTATACTCTTGAATATATTAGCCTCAGCCTATATAAAAATTTCTTCTTTGAACATTTTACCAGAAACAGAATTGACAGATTTTTCTACTTGCTGACTGCCTAACTTATTTTGTTTCATGATCTTGAGGGGACTACCTTTTCCCTTCTAGATCTTTTTTAAAAATAGTTTTTAGTACTATGGTATACTACTGGATGTTTCTATTTTTTTAGTATATTCTTTTTCTGACTTACAGTACAAATTTCAGGAAGTTGATAGATACTAAGAACTTATGATTGGTCTCAGAGAGGTAACAATGGAATACTCATAATTTTGTCTGGAGCCCTGGCAGAATTATGTGTTACACATTTGCTGAATTTCTTGTAACTTATATTTTAAATGAAAACTATTTTAGAGCTTTTATTTAATGAAGGGGAAGAGTATAAACTGTTTATTTCCTATTCATTCTGTAGTAGCAGACCCTCTCATGTAAATCAAGATCATGTATTAATTCTTGGGCTTCTCAGAGACAGTTACTTCCACGTGGTCCCTGCCTTTTCATTGTTATTGGCCCTCATTTTTCATATTCACTAGATGTTTTCCTAAATTTTACCACTCTAGCGATTAAGAGCCAAAAAAGAAAAGAAACATTATAGGAAGGGGAAACTGAACAGTAATGATTAGCTTTGAAATTTGGGGGGGAAACCAGCTGGTTTGGCAGAGCCATCCTGATGGAGAAGAATGAGATGAGTTAATTCCTGTAAAGTGCTTAGAACACTGTCTGGGCCATGATACATCTTAGTTGTTTAATGCTAGATGGGAACCATGAGGAAAAGGGGTGGGGGAAGTGGGAGAAAATAGGGAATGAAAAGATTGGGACGTTGAAATTTATATTAACATGATACGTTGTAAAGGGCCTGAAGACGACTGGAGCTGCATAATTAACAGGGGAAAATGTTATGGGAGATGGGTTTTAAAAATCATGAAATTTAAAACCGATAAGCTTTATTATACTTTTAGGATGTTGTCAACATAGGATGAAAACATTCTGAATAATTCCAAAAAGCTGTCATTTTATTTTGATACCTGCACATGCCATTGCGCTTTATATTATCAAGTCCCCTGTAAGGGAGGTGCTATGGTCTCCATCTTACAGACAAGGAAAGGCTCCAGGAAATTTGCCTAATTGAATTTGCGAACGTAACACAGTTACTGAGCGGTAGAGCTGGGTTTTGACTAGGTCTCATCCTGAAGCCCGTGCTCTTTTATTTTAGGGGGCTCTATTGCCCCAGTAAACAACTTTGTCGGATGTCAGCTCTTTAAAGGGGTCTGTCTGTGGAGACATCTTTTCCCTATAAAACATCTGTTAGGAATTTGAGTGTCTTAATTCTTCCTCCCCCAAATACCCTTACTACTCTTTCCTCCTAAATACAGCAGTTGTATCACATGACTATTAACAAGATACCAACCTCAGTGTCGCACATGCTATTCATTGGCTGTGGCATTTTCATTTTTAAAAGGATGGTTTTTAACTGAAGAATTAGATGTGAACCCCAGTTTTTGTGCCGTTCAGTCACCCAGATCCTTAAACTTAACTATGGTACATAATATACGTGCTTAGAACTAACTGGTGTTCTTTTGTAGTCACTTTAGGGTTTAAAATGGAAAGTTTTTTCCTGCTGTATCCCTACTTTCAAGTGAAGTTGAACCTGTTCTAGTTTAAAATGCTTTAGGGATAAGCACACTTTAACAGATGTTTTCTAGCCCTGAATTTTTTGACGTTGGGTACTTAAAATTTGGAGTATGCCAGCTATTGAGAACAAAATTTGGGGTTGAGGAGAGGGATGGTTGTGGCCATGATGAAATGGGAGAATCAGCATTTTAAACACTGTAAACATAAAAGAACACTATCTTCTGCCTGCTGTTTGTAAAAGCTCTTTGGGAAGATCTTTTACGAAGACCAATTTTTTAATGTAATTTACCTACCTAGTATAAGTGTCCTAAGACATGTATGTAACCTTCCAAAACTGTTTTGTCTGTGTATTTAGAAAATACACAAGATTCTTTATCAAACCTAAAAATATAAACTTGTGAGCACTGAACTCCTGGCTTTGTGAATTTTGTTGACTCTGACTAATGGGGGTAGGGGGATGCCTTTGTAAACTTTGGCTTACATAATTCAGATACCTTTGTACTTAAGGTTTACAAGTTTGAATTGTAGAACATGAAGTTTTTTCTGGTTTGTATCTTTTGATATGAAGACCGTAAAGGACTACTTCCTAGTCATGCTTGGAGAGCCACTTTAATAGCAGTGAATTGTAATCAGCACATCACTTGTCTTTCATCTTTACTGCTTTTGGAATTCTCTACAGGTTGTAGAAAACATTGAAATACTCCCCTGAGATGTGCATGATTTTGGCAATGGGCTGAAGAGCAAAGGTGAACGACTTCCCTATTGGCTGCATACCAGTGGGTTCACAGATTACAAGTAAATGTAAAGCTCAAGGATTTGAAACTTCAGTAATACAGAAAGAAAAAACATACTTTGAAGGGTTTTGTGGTGGTGGTATTAGTAATAGAACAAAAGAAATCATGGAATGACCAGGTTGCCAGACTTTATTATTAAAGAAATGAGAGTTTTGACTTGGTTTGAAAAAGCGTGACTTAAAGGAACGGATGCTCAAATCGCATATAATTCCTAGTGTTTTTAGGCTTGTAAAAGAACTGGCATGTGGCAGAGTTAGGTGATTTATATAGATGCATTCTCTATGATTCCAAGGGATTACGATTGGGACTACTCAACTCAAGACTAAAAGGCAGTTTTTAATAAATGTCTGAAGATGAAATGAGATTGCTAAAGGAAGAAACCAAATCACCTCACCACTGGAGACGTCTATTCTAAATAAAGTGGAAAGATTACCCAGTAAGCATTTTGGCTAAGGCAGTGTTGACTAACAATTTATATTTCACGTTGGTTGAAATATTTCAAATATCTCATGAAGTTGAAGTTGAGGAATCATGTTTAGCTTTATGGAAAAATGGCTAACTGAGCTCTTTTTCACTACAAGTCATAGACCAATGTTTGGAAGCTGGTGTAGGAAATTACTGGATCTATAGTTAGATAAGAAAATTAAATGTCCTTTGCATCTAAAGGTCTGTATCACAACTATCTGAATCTTGAACTAAATGAAAGTTTGAAATGGGCTAAAGGAAACCTATTCAGTTAAAATGAATAATAATAAACAAGCCCCACAGTTGCATGGTGCTTTTGCACGCTATTGATAAAACTTTCTGAACTGTCTGCTTCCAGCGGAATCAGTTTGGCATTAAGAAAACACTCATCTTCCAAGCATAATTAGGTATGTTTTAGAGTCTTAGTGAAAGACAGGCCAAAGACAGTCTTCTTGGCTTGTGTCCGAGCAGTTAGTGAGAGGATGATACATAAAATGGTCTCAAGATAATTGTAGAATTTTTTTTAAAATGGTTTTAAGAGAGAACTAATACAGAACTGATTCTCAGAGAGGGTAGTACAATGACTACAGTCACTTTTGGATTCCAGGGCTCCTCAACTTTCATGTCAGTATTTTCCCTGCAACAAAAAATATATTTAACATTTGGGAAAACTTGGAAACTAGAGACTACAAAGTATATTCAGATAAAACTGGCACATAGCCTGAGCTCAAAATTACTTGAATGAACGATTATTTTAAAACATCAACATTTTTAAGACTTTGCTAGGTATCTAATGGCATGTAGCTATCAAGCTAATTTTGTTTAGAAGTAATTTGTGTTGTGCAGTGCTTAGGGTAATTGGGGTAACACTGAGCCCTTGGGACCCGTTCCCCCACCAACCAGGAGGACGTGATCAAACCCAACCGTTGGCAATTACTACCATAGAGATCCCAGTGCAAGTGGGCTTCTGTGTTCAGTTTTTTTTTTTTTTACCTATACCATCTCTGTAGCTCAGAATACTTAAGTGACGAGATTAAGTACAGCCTGTGTTCTCGTGTTATACACTTGGATTTTGTGAGCACCTGGATTCCTAAACTGAGATGGTGGCGTTTACATAGAGACATGGGTAATTCTCCAGAGCAGGTTCTAGCACACAAATTTTTCAAGTAATTGTTACCTAAATCATTAAAACAATTAGCTCCTTCCAAAGAACAGCAATTATAATTGGATCAGCCTCCAAGAGTACTAAGCCAGAGCCTTACACTTCTCATCTGCGGCAAAGGAAGTATGAAGAAATATTTTATGAACTATTGTAGTAAGTAAGCAACTAGAGTTTTTTATATGTAGGTATAGTTTTTCTTTGATTAGTAGTCTTAAATTTGCCTCCTTGTAAGATTTTATTTCATAGATTTAAAGATGTTTGTTAGAATCCTACATTGGACTTCAGGTAGGGGTTTTTTTTAGCCATTAATCATCCTAAACTTACGCTCTGATTGTGCCTTCTGAAGGTTGCTGACTCTGGCACCCTCGTCTGTTTCCTTCTTTGTTAGCACCGTAACTTACCCCACACTCAAAATGTGAGCTCCTGTTTCAGTCCACGGCCTCCTTTTCCTCTTTGGTCTACATGTGATAAACTGGTATGTTGAATACCAGTCTGTGATGGATGGTGGGATCACGCTGTATGTTCTGTTCTCTCTTACTCGGCTACAATCCACTTGGGATGGGAAAAGATGCAGAGTTAGACAATCAGGGAGCTTTATCAGAAAAGTCCTTCCATTTCAGCAGTTTTAAAAAGCAAGAGAGGTGGAGGGGTAGGATGGCTAAAAATATTTTAAAATATATAAAATGGCACAGATTAAGTTAGAATACTGCATAAACAGCACTTTACATTGTCCCTCTTCAACGTAATAAAAGGAGAAGGAATACTTTCACCTTGAAAACGTATTGCCTCCTAGATGCCTCTCAGTTCTCTGTCAGCTGTATCGGGCAGGTCTTGGGATTAGAGGAGCCCTTCTTAGACTCTTGTGTACTCGGAAGCTGACTCCTTAATAGCGTCTACCTCCTGTTTGGGGGGCCTAGGTGATGAAGGGACATTGACCTAGAGGGGCCTACCTAGCCAATAAAGCAGTTCAGTAGACTTGCAGGAACTTGAGCTAATGTTCATTCACATATTTTTTGAATAGGGAAAGAAAAACACCTCAAAGGATGAAGTCAACATCTTTCTGTAATGTAACCCCCATCCCCAGTTATTCTGAAGGGAAATGATAGCCTAAGATCTTTGCTCGATTTTGATGTGCACTTTTTAGCATAGCGCATTTACATCTCACTAAAATTAATCTCAATATCAAATATCTAGTCAGCGTTCAAAATTCCAATCATCTCATTCATGCTCCATGTATATATGTATTTTATATGTTTTTTACAACTTGCTTTTCAGTCAGGATTCTAATTATAATGAAAGTCAGCAAACTTTTTCTGGATAGGACAAATAGTAAATGATTTTGGCTCTGTGGGCCATGTAAGGTCTCCATCACAATTAGTCAAGTTTGCTGTTTGAACACTAAAACAGCCATACACAAAATGTAAACAGTGTGGCTGTGTTATGATAAAGCTCAAAAAATGAGGCAGCAGGCTGTAGCTGGTGAACTCCAGACCTGTAAGTTCTCACTCTGTCCCCGTACCACCCCCAATTTATGCGTGCACACGACTTTAGTTTTTCCAATACATACATTGAAGTAGATGTGCCTTCTTACCGACAATGAATTACCTCCTTTCCAGGATGACAAATCTTAAGTAGCAACAATATATGATACTTCGGTGGCACCATTTTAGCTGAATAGGATACCATCTTGGCTGTGATTTAACAATAAGAACTTAACAGGAGGAATTCAACTAAATGCCGTATTCCAGTGCACAGTGTTCCCTCCCCCGTCCCCCAGTTCCTAAATGAGGGAAATAAAGAATACAACCAATTCAGAAATACATTCAGAACTTTAAGGGAAGACTTCAACTTGCTGATGAAAAAGATGTGCCTTTCTAATTTTAGACCCTTCTTTGCCACTTCCTCCTAGCTTTATCCTATGTTAAAAATATTTTATATCAGACCTCAACCTTAATTGAACTCTATGACATTTTCTTTCCACAACCTTTAGAATGTAAACTATGTGGGAGTCTTTCGTTAATATCAACATTTATAAAAGGTGTCAGTAAATGAGACCTGTCGGTCATCTTGGACACAGCTTGAAAATGCTAAACTTGTGAGTAATTTGAGGTAAATTTCAGGTCTCTGACCTGAAAGAGACTTTCTATCAAGCCCCTGAAGAAAATTCTCCAAACTGAATCAGAAGCCTATGTCATTGTTTCAAACACACTTGATTCCTCATTGTAAGCCCCACTGACGACAATCTTGTGGTCTTTGTGTTGCTCAGTCTCTTATAGTAGTGGACTCAAGTACATGTCAATGAACAAAATACTGAGCACAATTCTTCACAAAGTTTCTATTAAAACACAGTTTCAACATTGATCTAAAATACTTCCAAGAGTTGTTCCCTATAATTAAGGTTAAAATTAATCAAAACAGATGGTCTGATTCTAAGGGACTTAGAAAAAGTTTTGTTGCTTTTGTCTCTAAGGTGGTACTGTTCCATCAGGAGTGTCATATATATTCAGGAAGGACGTGTGATGGAACTCTGAGAAGACAGTCACTTGAGAATACAGCAAGGTTCCTCTCTGCACACCCCATTCATTCTTCAACCCATTGCCCCCTAGAATTGCCACTTCAATATTTGAATGAAACCACCCTTTTAAGGTCACTAATGACTAGTTGCCAAATCTTCACCTCTAGCATTTGATACTGTTAGTGACTCACTTCCTTCACACAACCCTCCTCTTACTTGACCCTGTAAAGATCGGTTTTCTTTCAGTTCTTTACTGAGCACTCTCCCGGTGTTCTTTCCCTTGGTGTCCTTAGTCAGTCCCAGATGGTCACAGTGACTTAACCCTTGGTGAATTTCATCCCTGACCTCTCCAGAGCTAACAAATATTTGTTGTAATGGCACCATGCATTGTTTAACGCACAAAAGATTTATGATCACATCCTAATTGGAGTCATTGTTCTTTAACTCCTCATGGATGACCTCAAGGGTCTTTG